AGACCAGGTTGCTCAGAGCTTTAGGCAGTTTGGGCTTGAAAATCTCAAAAGTTGGAGACTGCACCTACCTTTCCTTAAGCAACTTGTTGTAATGTTTGGCTGTCTCCATGGCAGGAAGGTTTTCCCTTGCATCCAGTCTGAACCTCCCTTGTGTCAGCTTACGTTCATTGTTTCTTGCCCTCCCACCATGCAGCACTGAAGAGACTGGCTCTGATCTCCTGGTGACCTCCACACAGGTATTGGCAGGCTGCTATTCTGTCCCAAGTCAGGTCAAGTGGTTCAGTTGGAGTCAGAGGTTCATTACAGTGCTCACTCACTCACTTGGTGCTTCAATTTCTTTTCCTCTTTTCCTTTCTTGGCAACCTTATAAGGGATTTTTAAGGCCTGTCTGGGCGCAAAGGCCTTGGACAGAAGCTTGAGATGGAGCAGCTAGTATCTTCCAGGCTTCATTGGCATTTAAGTGCAGATGAAAGGAGCCTGGGATTGGAAGATCAATAGTGGAGGTCATTGGAGTGAGTGGTCCAGTAATATGCTAGGAACGAAGTAGAAGAGGCATTAGACAATTGCCTGTTAGGATCAAAAGGCCCAACACAGAGTCTGTTACGTACTCAGGAGCAAACATACGCTTGGCTTTTTCTAGGTTAAGGAACACAAATGGAGCATTTGCCTTTGAATGTTTTCTTTCTTGGGAAGCATCCGTGCTTAGGGTGTGAAGCTGTAGGCCTTGGAAGCGCTCTGCAAAATAACACAAGTTAAAACTATCTTTCTGCACCTTCTTGGTGTCTCATTGGTAATGAAGAAACAAGCCCAGTGTGCTGGTATTACTGCTCAGGCTATGGGGTCCAAACACAAATCCTAGAGAGAATTAACAAGGAAGGAATCAAGGCAAGATTAAAAAAAAAACCACACATCCCCAGGCACCCTCCCACCCCCAACTGATTTTGTGTCAAAATAAGAGAACTAAAGAAAAAGGAAGGCAAATAGTTGCAATTTAAGAGTGGAACTGACCAGAAGGGAAAGTTTCTTGCATAGGCTGTTGAGAGTATCTTCAGAACTAAGGCGAGAGGCCTGTATATTCTGCATCTGTCGTGGAAAAGGCTAAAGGATTGAGCCCGAGTAATTCTTTTCCAGTGACCTGTCTACTCACCCGTGACACAGCTCTCCAAATAAGCACTGAGTAAATCTGCCACTTGGAAGGGATAATGGTTTCTCTTCTGCAGTGATGCTTACTCTGTTGACAGTCCCTCCTCTGCCTCAGTACAGGTCAGGCTGGAAATAGCTGACACAGACACCGGACTCCCAGGGCTGCACTCATGAGTTCATTGGGCCGTTCAATTTACATCAACAGGCCTTTATACCTGTGGCTTTCTGTAAATACACCTTCCTCATGCCAGACAACTTTTCTGAAAAACCACTCTTGTGGTGTCACATCAACAACCGTTAGTAACTGCTCGAAGTTAATCAAACGCAGATTCAATTTCAGAGTGAAATCTTTCAGGTTTGGGAAATCTGCAACGGGGCAGCTGAATGTTGTGCACCATCTCAAATCCCTACTGGTGTCCTTACCCTCAAATCAAGTTCTCCTGCATTCCGACTTATTTCTGGCAAGCTTCCCTCAAGTTTCCTTTCTCCCTTCTGTAGGGAGAGCAGATCACACACTAGACTTAAATATTTCTGCAGGTCAGTCATAAACAACAAAAAAACCCACACACAAAAGAATTCAGCCCATGTCATTTGTGATGCATTACAAAATGAGAACAAGAGTATTCATACCATCTGGCATGGATTCTCTGGTCAAAGGGCAAACAGCGATCTGCTGCTGAATTATCAGCTTTGTCTTTCTTCTACTTAGGAAAGTATGTTTTAAAAGACATTTGTACTTGTTTTGAGTAGTAGCTTTCAAGAGGTACTCAAGGAGCAAAACAGCATAAAAATTTGCATGAAATAAACATTCTTGTGTTCCGAGGTCTGAATCTGTTGGATGAATCTCCTCCAAATATTTCTGGAATCAGTATTTGGCATTTCTTCCAATTATGAATCCTGACAAATTTGGAAGAGCAAAACAGATACTAGTTGCAGACAGCAACAACTTTCTTCTAAAATAAATATTACTGTGGCAAAAACAGAAGCATAAAAACTAGAGTTCAATGAATAAAAAAGTTACTGTGTGATCTGCTTCCATCTGAAACTAGTGGCATTTAGAGCACGTTAGATAATACAAACCAAAGAGTACTGCTACAAGCAAAATAATTGTTTCATAACCCAAAAAAGGGTGGGGGAAAACCAACTCCAAATGGAGAACAGCTTGTAAATCACTCTAACAAACCTGCAAGTGCTAAAAAAAAGACTCAGATTCATATTTGGAAAATAAACTAGGTGGTCTTTGGCCTTTGCTGGCCATGCGAAATGATGGCAAGCAACTAATAATTCATGGCTGCAATATTCCATTTTCTTGGCTGTGGCTTTAATTTCTACTGGCTGCTAGAAAGAGCAGGGTATCTTACACACAGAATGTCACTCTTCAGCTGTATCAGACCACTCTCTATCAGATGAAACTTCAGTATCTACTGTTACTTCATGATGTTTGATTTTTCTATACTACGAAAGATAAATTCAAGATTAAAAAAATTTTTCAAAATATAAGCAGCTCGGACCAAGGCACAAATTGAAAGTTCAGGATTAGCTTTTGCCACATGCATCAGAAGATGCACGACATTAGACAAAAAGCTGTTTACCTAGAAGGTAAAATTTTCCTCCTCTAATTGCTGTTTCCTGTAATGCAGGCCAACTTTCTATCTCCTCTGCCAATTCTAAGTGTATGCACAGAAAAACGCAGCTTGCAGTCCAATTTTATTGCTTTTAAAAAAGATCATACCATAATTGTGTCTTCCTTATAGCATCTCCAAGCCTGAGTTTCCAGATACTTCATAAAAGAAGTATAAGAATGTGCATCTTCCCCAGATTTGCAGAAGAGGTTTGCTGTGAGAGAAAAAAACTGCAATCCTCTCTGCGGTGCTGACAAGCCAATGAACAATTTAAGTCTCATTTGATCTGTAATTGGAACAGGCTTTACACAGAACAAGAATCTTAATGCCTAGATAAAAGTTGCACTTTTAGTATTAACAGTGATAAAAAGACTGGTTATAAATTTGTACTGTTCATTGAAGTGAGAATTCCTAAATCTAGCAGCTCAAGCAAAGTTAATTCTTACGCTGATAAGGAATAAGAAAATGCATTCAGCTAAGCGAAGGAATTTAAAACTGATTTATCAGCGCAACAACCTCAGTAGTGGATCGTCACATGTGTCCTGACATGTAAATACAGAAATATTTTAGACACAAATGCCAAAAATAATCCCGGAGCAATTCAGCCCTGGTACAGACAGCGGGGGCCAATCTTTTGAACTACCAGTCGGATTCTCTGTGCTGGCTATTTGCACAGTCTATTTCAGCCTCTGGGAAGAAAAAGGGCAATCTTGCAATACATATAATTTTTGCTTTGCAAAGATAAATAATGACAAAACCCATCTGTTTCTTACAAACATATAAATTATTTTATTTACAAAGCCATGTTACAAAAAAAAATAATAATAATAAAGCAAAAAAACAAAAAATACAATCGCTCACTAGAGAATATCTCCAGGCCCGGTGTTGAACCATGGCAGTATCAATCAGATACATGTTTGTTCTGTTTTTCCTTTTTTAAACTGTAAGCCATAGAATTTACTATTTACACCTACTTTAGACATTTATTCTGCTTACAATTATCACAAGCATGGAATGAATTCTATTTGATACTGCTAATACATAAAGGTGCAGGACAAAGAATGAAAATACTTAGTGTTACAAAATATGGATTGTAGAAAAGAAATTGGCTGTACAAGTATGGCATTTTTTTTTTCTTAGAATGATTGGACATGCTTTCTTCAAAAGTCTTCTGGAAAAGGTTCTAAAATCTGTAGTAGGAAAGCACAATATAGCAGGTGCAAATTCATTTCTGTGCAACAACAGTTATTTAATATATCCCATGACTGACCAGCTATGCAAAACCCACAGAGTTTTGTTAAAGTGCCATGGGTCAACAGCATAACAAAATATAAGGTGTAAATAGAAAAATTTCTTTTTTTCTTCTTTTTTTTTTAAAACAATAGTTCACTGAGAATCAGCAATAATAGAATATGCTGTATAAACTATTCTCTACAAAGGTCGATCAGCACTATTTACAATTCTTACATCAATACAAAAGAAGGCATACAAGTTATCCAAGTCGCTTTTTATGGCTGACGGGCCTATGCATTGCGTATGTGTAACAACCAAAGCTTCTGAGCCTCTATTGCTGGAAACAAATCACAAGATTTTCAGGCATATGGGGAAGAAAAAGAACTACTGAGTGAATGCTACACTAATAATGCATTATAGGCTGGTCCAGTTTGTATTAATTTTTTTCAAATGTTTACTTCCATTTCACTTTTCAGGCTGAAATTTTTGATACATATAATCAAATAATGATCCTCTGACGATGAAAGAACACTGTGGGATTTTACTGGGTGCTTAATGTTCTTGAAATGCTGTCAGGTGTAAGCCAGTTGAAAAAAAAATTAAGCAGCATTCGAAGGACAGGCTCCATATTCCAGCTTTCCAATTAAAAGATGCATGGAAAGAGCTAAAGCTTCCTAAAACTACAAAATTGCTCCTTCAGTCATTGATTAGCATTATTTCTCAGAAGCAACCACTGAATCTCACAACCACTGTTTTCCCCCAACAACTAGAAATAGCAGTTCATTGATTACAGAGGATGACCTTGTTACTGAGATTTTTAAACTCCTGCAGTTTTATAACTCAAAATAAATTAAAAAAATCAACATAGTACTGCTCCTAAAACTGAACAAGACAAAAATTGTGCAAAAATAACAAAGATATGTACACATTTTTCAGTCTGAAGAAATGTACAATAAAAACATAATTCAAAGAACATTTTAAAAATATAAACATTGCTTAAACTTTCCTAAGTTTCATACTGTTTCTGAAACTATACCGGTCAGTTAGCTCTGAGTATAGCAAAACATAAATTATTACAAAATTAACACTATAAAAATTTATTTTAAGAATATTTCTAAACTTTTTTCAAAGGGTCTAGCCTTGTTTATAATTGCTTAAACATTTTAGTCTTAAAATTTGCCTTAAGCCTTCTTTTTTTAAAAAAGAAAGTAGTAATAATCTCCCTATTTTGCAGTCTCTCGCCTTTCCCCAAGATGTAAATAAACCAGCATATAAGTGCACTTTTAACACTGTAGAAATAAAAATTAACTCCTCCGTACTATTGTTCCAGTACCTAGTATTGGCTTCCTGATTATAAAATCTATATTTTATTAAAAAATTATTCAGTAATCCTATAAGAAACACTGTCAGTGCAATTCTATTAATGCAAGCCAATCTGCTCAACTCCTGTCCTTGCAAACCCAAACTGTTTTTTCCAAGTTACCAAGTGCTATGATCTCAAGTGTCTAGAAATCCACCAAGATATGGGGATTTTACATGTTGAGCCCCTGATAACATTAATTACAGTTTGGTGCAAAAATCCTCTATGCATTGATTGAAGTACAGATTCCGTAAGAGCCTGATCCTGGAAGAGGCTGAACACTCAGAATTCCCACTGAAGTTATTAAACGCCGTAGGTACAAAGCACCAGTCAGGATTAGTCCCTAAAGTTGCAGTGCCCCAGCTGTTTGCAAATTACTAAGAAATGCACTCAATTTTTATCCATAGGACAAGCTTAAATACAGAATTACTGTAATTTTTATTTAATGAAAAAATTTGGAGATCCTTTAACTAAATTCAAATCATGATCTGGATTTTTTTTGGAATGTCCGCTGTGTTCTTGTAAGGAAACAAAGGGAGCATTGCAACGCTAACAGCTTTAAAAGGCATGAAACATAACCAAGCAAAACGCACAGATCAGTGGCAAATACAAGTGAAAAACTAAACAAATCACTATTACAGTTTTCTGTAAATTTAATTCTCTTTAAAACCACAAATTCATAAAAGTTTAAATCCATCTGCAGGACATAGAAAAGAAAAACCCTGTGGAGTAGGGCTGCTGAGAGCTAGAGATTATAGGCTGGTTCCTTTTCCTTGTTATGGAAGAGTCCTTATTCTACCAGTCCGGTTTGATGTCTTCTAAAAGAGAAACCAGAGCCAGGTTCAAAATCACAAAATGCCTTTCAGTATATAATACTTTCATAACATCTGCGGCTGAGAGAACTCAAAGAAGGAATTTATTTCAAGTCCCTGAACTAAATTCCCTCCCTGTTTACTGATTACATTAGACCTTTAAGAAAAGGAACTGCTTTGAATAAACAGCGTGTTTTCTTTTGGGATTGTCCTATTTTAGTAAGCTTTGGTGAATCTCATGTTCGTTAACTTGGTGTATCATTACAAATAAAGAGCAGCAATTAGACGACAGCTCTGAAGAATCTTTTCCTCTACACAGCATGTTTTCATGCACAAGGAATCCCCATACAGCATACACGTTGTCACCTTCCCTTAATAAAATGATCTAGTTACTCAGTATTTAAAAACCACCGCATACTGAGGTCTTGAAGTGTTAACACATTCAGGCACCTAAAAGCACTATGAAGACAAAAACACTTGATTAGTTATAAACCTAGAACAAGATAAAATCTGGAGAAAACAAGCTTTTAATACATGATTTGTATTAACAGGCACAAATAATTTGACTGTAAAGCTACCATTTCATTAATATTTGTTAAAAATCCAAGTAGTTTTTGTAGGAAAAAGTAGTATTTTTTTAATTAAAGCAACAATAGTTGGAAAAACAGGCATGCTTTTACTTATACAAGCCCCTGTTCAGGTCTCAAATAGATTCAGCAACATTCAAGTTAAACATGAATTGAGAACAATTTGTCTGAGTTTGACCTGACTGAGTTTAACGGGAGGGGAGCGAGCAGACAGGCCCACAACGGTGAGCCTCACAACCCACGAGTCCCCACAGGAGAACCCGAGAGGACAGTGTACTTCAACAAACATAGCAAATGACCGAAAGAAACTACTTGTCTGAAATCAAAACAACCACGGGGCACCTTTATCTCACAACTCAGTAACGAGAAGCACCCAGTTATCAGTGGCCGGTGGCTTTCACAGCACTGCCATGTGTCCTCTCAGCTCCCACTGGACACCTTCGGTGGGCGAGTGCAGAGGCCAGCTCCCTCAGCAGGACTTGTATGCAGGTGATCACAGGTTCAAACCAGGCTGGTTTTACAGCCTACCACAAGTTTCCCAAAGGCCTCATTCTCACCCAGTCACTCAATCTCGTGTTGAGTTAAGGACCCTTCTCCCTTCTCTTGAGAAACAAGCAGCTTCTCCTCCCTTCTAACTCCCCCTCTGCACCAGCAGACAGGCCCAACAGGTTGCCTGACCGGGTAGCATGGTGGAGGCAATCCAGAGTAACTGCTCTGTACTCACATTTACCTTGACTGCTGCACTCCTGCTTCAAACTGCATTGTTAAATGTCTGTTGTTCTGACTTGTATTTGTGAAAATTTGCCTGATTTTTCCAACTATAAACCCCAGTGTATAGCAGAGGTTGTCCCTCCCTACAGACCTCGCTTCCTTGGACTCCCTGACCATCATGGCTGTAACAACACTAACAATAAAAACAAGAGAGCTCAGGTTCCCCCCAGCAGTATCTTTACTGACACAGCATATACTTGCAGATCCACTTATTGTTACCTAATTAATAACAGCTTTATAAAGAAATATTATAGCAGAGTTTAAGACTAAGATTTTATTTAGAGAGTACTGAGTTGCTAGATCGGAGATGAAAGCTGTCAACAAAGCAGCTCAGATTTATTTTTGACAGTGACAAGCATTTATTAGATAGGTAATCATTATTCATAGTTCTAAATACTAAAATCCTGTGTTAAGAGTTTAAAAAAAACTTTAATATAACTTAATACATCCTTATTTTCATTTGTATTCTGAGCTCCATATTAAACTACCAAACTGACAGAAACATATTTTTAACAATAAACAGTTTGTGGGGCTTAAAACAAGCAAACACTTCTATTTTTGATAAAGTTATGGAAACGGGCAGCTGAAAAGCTCAGCAATAGCCTCTGTTTACATAAGGCTGCCACAAAATTAATGTTTTGTACTGTTAGGTTTTCCCCATGGGATCTAGGCAACAGATCCCAACAAGCTCTGCTCCTCGGGTAGTGTGTATTTTATACTAACACAGGAGGTTAAAGCCAAAACAGTTCTGCACTTCAGAACAGCTTTATCCCATGCTTGTTATTGGCAGTTGGATGACATCGCACACAGGAAAACGCCAGTCCCTAGAAGTATGAAGAAACTTTCCACTTTCTTCCCTTCAGAGTAGTTCTCCCACACATACACTGCTCTGCATTCAGCACCAAGAGGAGGGGGGAAAAAAAAAAAAAAAAAGTACTGTTTGGCAGTTCATCTCAAGATGTGAGTGATTCAGAATATTTTTAATGGGGATACAGTTGTGGGTTATCATTACTACAATCATTACTATTTCTTTTGCTGTGTCTACACAGCAGAAACTAAGCAGCACAGCCATTTGGAATAACTGCTCCTGTATAATTTAGCCAGAATATGTAACAGAATTCTAAAATACTGACTGGTTGTACAGAAAAATCCTCTAAATTTTTTGTTTACTTGTGACTACACCTTTCATACCAAGGATCTTGATAATGAAGTCTTGAAGTCTACTCAACTTGGAGTGTCAAACAGTAGGGACTATATTAAAAAAATAAACTAGCCTATCAGTCCTTCAGACAGATGAGGGCTGGATCACAGGTAAAGCACCTGTCCTCACAAAAAAGCTGAGTTACAGAATTTAATTATCTGACTGGGAGTCTGTGTGAGAAACAGGTATGGTGGGAGCACTAAGGATTTCTCACAGCCTAAGAACTTGGATTATTCTTAGCTTAGTTATGCTTTCAGATTAGTTTCTCTGAATAGTTGAGTGCCCTGTCTTCTCTGCCCTGTTTGTGTCCTCCTTTTGCTGCTTTCACTTCTGGCCTATTTTTCAATGCTGTCCCTTCTATACCAGTTTGGGGACTCTGCTGTGCCATCTTGCTCAGCAGGGGAAGCTGGATAGAAAAACCGTATCAGCTTAGCTGGATCCTGCGCAGACAAGCTGCTGCTGCTGCTAAGTTTGTATCACCAAAGCAACAGCCGGCGAGCAGCACACAAGTCAACCTGAAGTGTATTACAGGTGGTGAAAAACAAGCAGAAAACTTGTTATTCATAAACCTCGGAGGGGAAAATAGCTGGAAAAAAATTAAGTGAGAGGAGAAATCTAATATCAATTCACCAAAAGACAGCTTCTAGAAAGAATTGTATTCATAAAGAAATTGTATTTTAATGTTTTACAGTATAAAATATTTCAAAACTGCTTACAGACTACTTAAGTACACTTTTTTTTTAAAGCAACTTACTTGTCTGTTGTGTACTGGGTTTGATGCACTCGAAGGACTGGATTGTGACAAAGCTACACTGCTATTTTTTCCAATCTGAAAGACATTAATTGAGCAGTATTGAGAGGCATATTTGTCAGTTGAATGCAGATGCTGGTAATGGCCTTCCCTTTCCCGTGTAAAGTGGCACTAATTGCTTTGCATTTGGAACACAGGTATTTTGCTGTTGCAAAAAATATAATTCAGATAGAATCATAATTATGTCTCAGAGCCTGTATACTTTAAATGAACTCTTAAAAGGCACTAAATACTATTACAGCTCTGAAAATAACATAAGAAACAGTTAGTGAGGGAATATAGATTATAAAACGCCACCTCTCCAGACCGAAATACTAGTTTCTGTAGTTACTGACATCACTTACTGCAGCTACTCAGCGACTGAGTGAGCACAGAGTGCTGAGGGTCACGGACTCCTCCCCACAGGACCTTCCCTGCTCCTGGGGAGTTTAAAGCAATCTGCCAAGTACCATAGCATGCCCTAAGTTACTCCATTTTCTTCCACATCAAGTCTTCACTTGCTATTGCTGAATAAAGCAAATATTAACCAGAAGAATCAAACTCCAGAGGTTTGAATTTGCAACTGTATCCATTTACTGCATCAGAGAATTTCCTTGGGAATGACTGCAAATTGATAGTACACATGCGTACATTTTACAAGTCCTTAGTTAAAATACTGCAATATTCAATCCGCATATTTCAGCGCTTGAGACATCACAGCACTCTGCAAGAGCAGTCTGTCTTAGGTTTTTCTACAGCAACCCATAAACACAGTGTAGATAATTTCCATTGCGATACAAAAAGGGAGACAGTGGTTGTGTCAGAGAAGTAGCTCCTCAGGGGTTACAAGGCTGATAAAAATTCACCATTGCCACCTGCCTACAAATGGAATAGTTATTCACAAGGTCAGTGGGCTTCAAGTAGCATCAACTTTAATCATTTGATGGGGAGGTAGCAAGGACCTGCCTTCTAAACAGTGAGTAAAGCAGTTGCAAGTTTCTTACTGGACAGATGGGACAGTGGCAATGGCTGGCAGGGTTTTCACCAACATCATAGTTTTCTCCTTCCCTTCTGCAACATCATTTGTTATTTTGCCATTTCACGTATATAGTGTAAGGAAGCCTTTGTCTCCATCTCCATAACCTGCCTTTTCTCACACAGTGACTGTTTAAAATCGCATTCTCTATTCACATTCTATCCAGAAGGAATGTTTGAAATTTTTATTTACAGCCAGTTCTGAAGGCAGCTCCCGTGGTGCACTGAGATTACAAGGGCAGGCCTCTGCCTAGCCTGTTCCCTTTAGCTTGTTGTTTTGCATGCCACAGATGTTCTCTAGGTAGTAATGTGCTTTTCTTCAATATACAAACTTTGACTAAAGATACGCAACCTTGTAAAATCTTTCCTAGCCATTCAGAACATCATGACACACCTGCAAACCTTTCTCCTCTACGCCCACCATTATAACATTCGTAAACCCATAATAAAATACATGTCCATCTTTTAAATGAGAAAATAGCCACTAGGCAATCAACCTGCTGAGGTCCTACTACACCTCTTCAGGCTTCCACTCATTCAGTGCTCCTATGACTCACAGACGGACCCTCTGCATAAGCCAAAGCAAGGAGCAACGTGCCTTGCAACATTGTGGCCGCCTTCGAGCTGCTCCACCATCCCTTCTTCATTTGGAGCTGGAAGGGCAGCACTCCGGGACGGAAAGGTAATTCAGACAGACTAACGGTGAAAATAAGAAAGAAAGATTCCCAGTTGTGTCAGGTCTTTAGTGACAGGAGTGCCATTTCAAAAGGATTAGGGCGAGGCCAGGACTCAAGTCCCTTTTTTCTTTTTAAAATAAGGTATACTTCAAAACCCAATGGTTAACACTTTCAGTTATTATCTATCTGGCCAGACTTAAATTAGAACCCCCCCCCCCCAAAACCTTGAGTCACTTGAGCTTTTTTCTGTGTTCTTATTCTCTTAATTTAATTTACCCTATTACATGAGGGAACAGCAGCAAGATTTTTAGTAATACTGATTTTTTTTTGTGGAATTTCTGTGATTGCGTTTCTAGAACACAGCAAGTCAAAACAGCAAAGCTTAAAAGTGATTTCAAGTATTGTGTTCTCCAGAGTTTTAATATTCATATGTAGAGTATGTAACATTTTTTGACCCATATGGTTAAGTGGGTGTAAATCTCATTTATTTATAGCATAAATAAACAGTAGGAAATGTCTATTTTATTATTGCATACAATTCAGTATCCTGGTGACACAGACAATTAGCTGCCAGCCAGACATCTGAAATACAATCAACTCCACTTTATTTTTGTTTACTAGTGGAGCTCCGAAGACCAGCAGTATAAGAGGAAAGTGTGACCAACTTTTACATTCACACACACATATATGCATATATACGTACATATGTGTATGCACCTGTACATGTATATAAAAATATTATGGTTAAAATGTGTATATCATTACACTTATTACATATATTTAACCTCTTCATTAAAGAAAAAAATAATATTAGTGTGAATTACATATTAGAAATATTTGGAAAAGACCTCTGATTCTTTATGGTTTATTTACTTCCGTTACTGTGCAGCATGCTGAAACATCACAGATTGGAATGGGAACGTCCCACAGGAACAGATTTAATTATTAGAGGAGTCAGAATTTGAACTCAAAACCTCCCACATGTATCTGTAAGACTTCCTCAGACTGCACTCGCTACAGTGACAGTCTACACACTGTGAAACGAGGATACAATAGATTCCTTACTACCCGTGTTTGTACCAAAGTAACAATTTGTGCTTATTTTTTCTTCCCATTTGAGATCCTGTATCTCAGGGCAATTTAATCTTTTTGGGCACACGCACGTTTCAAAAATCAAGTGTGTTACAGAATGAAGAATTTACAGCATCCTCCACTGATCTCAGTGACTTAAAGATTAGTTCTGATTGTACAGGACACATTTAAAAGGCTTAAAAGAGAAAGACAATGCCACTACCCATTTTTAAAAGCCAAACAAACCATCAGTTGCACCTCTGCTGGAAGTAGGAAAGAGAAAAATATACCTGCTAAGCCATTCTTTGAGACTTTCATTCTGTCTACTACACCAGTTTTAGAATTTGTTTATTCGTTTCTTCCACTCCCATTTCTGTCTGCTATTACCTATAGATTGCCTTGCCCAAGATCTTACCCTTTCCATTTCCAAATTCCATTTTACGTGCAATATCCTTAGGAAATGAGGGTTTCGCAAACCAAATTTTAATTCACATATACTTTTGTCCTTATATAGCATCACTGAAAAAAAAGTCAAAGGTCTATTGCTAGTGACAATGAAGCAAGAGTGAGTAACCTTATCTGCTGCACTGACTTCAATATTCTGTACACATGCACACTGAAAAAGATAACCAAGCATCCACTAAAGGTCATCTGATTAAGAACTTAATTTCTTAATTTTTCCACTTTCAAAGGGAACAGCAGCTGAGGTCAGGCATCTCAGACTCTCCTCAGGGGACAGGTAGATGCAAGCATTTTACATAAGAGAAATGAGGAGACTTGCATAATGTTAAAACAATGAATCAGCAACAAGTTTGGGAAAAGAAACAAACAGAAATGCTGACTCTTCTCTTCCTGTTTTAATGATATTTATTTCAGAGAGATGAGATAAAAAATTAATTTCTAAAAATTATTTATTCATTTTGGATATTCAATTTTACTTTCAGAGATACCAATGGCTCAATTTTATTAATTGAATGAAAAAATCTCATTTAAGTATTTTAAGAAAGCAGATACATATTTTTTAAACTATATGCTTTTTAAAAGCATCATTCTATGATTGGTGCAAAACAAATATAAATATGTTCTGTATTAACCTAGGAAGTAAGTTGTGTGATAAAACCAATCTGAAGCAAACACAGTATTTGCTTTTCAGAATGCATAAAATATTTCAAGTAAGTCAGATATGACCTGCAAAAAAATAACAGGAAGAGTCCCTTACCTGCCGAGAGATGGAGCTGCTTGTAGGATCTGGCACCGCAGAAATAAGGTTGGCAGTGCTCTTTCTATGAACACTATTCATACCAGGCATTTTAGTGATTTTACAGGCTTTGCTACTAGAACTAGAGTTTTTACGTTTTTTTCCTTCTGATTTGTCGAATGAAAGGGGTAGAGAAGACACTGCATTATGTGCTCCCAGGGAGTGGTCCCCTGAGTGGTGCACAAGAGAAGATACAGACAGATTAGAAGAGTCAATACCGCTTACTACCATGCTCATGTGTTTCACTGAGTCTGTTGAACTACTTGATAATGAAGTCCGTCCTGAGGGCTCCGATTTGGCACTGAGTGGGCTTGTTCCGTTATTTGTATTGTGCACAGACATACTGTTATAGGAAGATGTAGCCTGATAGGAGTTCAGAGTCGAACTGGGGTTCAGGACACAGTTCTTTTTGTGGGACCCTGAAAATGAAGACGAGGAAGATGTCTGCAAAGATAATGAGGACGATGAGGACGACGACTGCGGCTTTTTCTTTTTGTTACTTGAAGACTCATCACTCCGAGATGACAGGTCTTTCACTTTTGAGGATTTGCTGGTTTTTGTTTTGGATGGCTTGTGGGATGGGGAGGGGATGACTGCTGGCACTGGTGACACAGCTGATGGTGCCTTAAAAGTTGAGTCCATGATGCTTAGGCTTGCAGCCATATGAGGAAAAGCTGTAGTGTGTGACATAATGGAATTCGTATCTGACGTTGTCACAAAGGCTGCATTTGATAACATGGCTGATGTCATTATGTAAGAAGAAGAAGTAATTCTTGAACTGATAGGTGTTGAAGGAATATACACCGCACTGGGGCTGCTGAAAGGCTGTAAGACTGATGCTGGAAAAGGAGTGGAGACATGTGCTGCTGGAGAAGGCATGGGACTATCTGCTGCAGGAGGAATTTTCCTAAATAGATAAGATTAAAAAAAAAAAAAGGTAAGTTTTAGATGCATCAAAAAATTCCACCTGAACAGTGCAGATAGGAAATGATTTCTGGGAAGGACAAACTTATTAAAAAAGGCAAACCTAGTTCATTCTAATTTTGATTCCTATTCTACCAACTACGTGTATTTTAATATTCACAGTTCAAAATCAGCTCTGCATTCTACAATAGCTTAAAAATGCTTTTACTTCTGAGGGTTTTTTTCCCTCTTTTTAAACTTCCAGTTCCATGATGAGGTTCTTTGGGATTTAATACAAACAACAAAACCCAAACTGCATGTGTATTAATAAAGTAGAGATTCGGGAAAGCTGGATCATGAAGTAAATTTTCCTAAAAATTAAGTTGGAAATGAGGCACATTAAATCTGTGAAGGCAGAGGAGACCTAACAGAAGATGATTAAAGAACTATGCAGCATAGTCTTCCCTACAGAGTTCTGTCACGGTACATGGGCCCTAAACTGTGTAATTCAGTTAAACCAGAACTGAGCTCCACTTCACCACAAGTGCCCCACGTAGCAGTTAAGTACATAGTGTTACAGTTTAATAATCACTTTACTACAAATTTAATTTCCTTTTTTCCTCTTCCATTTTACCAGACAATTAAAAGTGCAAATAAAATGCCTGATGGTGGGATCTATAAACATTCTAGTCACTACGTTTCATGCATTGCGTATGTTTTGCTTGAAAGTTGAAGTTGTGGAACGGTCTCAGCATCAACCTAAACTCACAGGTTCGATTTGAAGAGGGTAGTAAATGAGCCAGTTTGGGGGGTTCTGCTACTTAATCACTGAGCTTAAAGAGGAAAGGAGGAGAGCTCATCCCTTTCTCAGAGCAGTGCTACTCCCGAGAGCTCATTTGAGAGCAGGTTAGACAGGATTAACTCGGTACGCTATTGATTAATTTCAGTGACGTTGAAAAATTGACAAAATCTTAAACAATGCTTGATAAGCTTTATAACTAGTTGAATACTATTCTGAGAATAAAATTTATTAATATTACCTGTGAAATTAGTAGAACGTATTCAAACTCCTTTCTATTCAGCCACCACCTTTTATTATTTTATCTAGTCCAGTCCAGCTAACAAAGAACCAGACTTCTATAATGTCTCCTGGAAAATTATCATGTGAGCTTTTCTCATTATTTAGGCTAAAATTTAATTCACAGTTTAATTCTATTTCTCTTTGTTAAGAATCTGTACATCACCATAACTCTGCCCTTGTTATCCTCACTGCTGACACATTTTCAGTTTTTAAAGGCTTACTCTTGCCCTCAAAGTAGTATGATAAAAGAGCTGTACTGGGTGTGCTGTTTTATCATAAATCAAATCCTAATTGCAAGTGTTCTCTCCAGGTATTCTTCCTATGGAGACTGCCAGACAGAACACTGTTTATGGCACAATTACATAAGGGATTACACACACTCTATGCACCCAGAAATGAGGAAGTTCTATTGCCTGTGACTTGCTACACGAACAAAGCTGCTTATCAGATCTGTTCCTCAGTTTATTTTTAAAGAAGGGTCAATAATTCTTACCCATCTTTGTAAAGTACTTTGAGAACTAGGGATAAAAAGTATTTTGTAAATGTTGTTATCGTTCTTGAAATATGGCCTTGCATCCCTGTACCTTTAGCCACAGCTACAGAGCTGTGTTAGCACCGGCTATAAATAACAGCTTTACGCATACCCTGGCTTGGGGAAGGCAGGAAAAGATGAGCCCAGAGGAGGGTTGAGGACAATGGGAGAATACAATTGGGGTTAAGCACGGTGAGCTTCCTGTGTTACACAGAAAAGTAAGTACGGATGGAATTCATTGAAATATTAGAGATTACATAAAGCTAGAATTCAGGAAAACATTTACAATTGGATTTAGTGGGAGCAGGATGAGGCCTGTTTATTTCTTGTATCATATGACTACTACAGAGGGTTTTTTTGGTTTTCACGATAGTAGTGGTACTAGTGACACATTTTTGCAGATGCCCAAGTGTCTTTTCTCCTGACAAAGCAAGCCAATAGATAACAGGTTTTAATCTTCCTATTTAGAGAAACCAATTTAGTTTTACTTGTGGAAGGAGACAGACACTAGTTAACAGCCAAATTTACAAAGTAGAAGAGAAGAACTGTTTGCAGATCAAGCATGATCTGTCTCTAACCAAACATGAAACTGGCCCTTTGACGGCAAACCCAACCATTTCCAAACTATGTCTCCCAGCACAGTAGCACTGTTATCATCAAGTTACCAGGTTAGTCAGACAAGCCAAGCTTTAGTGTTTCAAAAATATATTTAAATAAAAATCAAACCTTGTTTATCTAATGGCTGGTATCCAATGAATATAACACAGTCCTGATAATAAACAGTGACACGAAACACTGCACTTTAGTGTCATTACATTGGAAGAAGAATGCATGTTCTGTAGCAGAATACCCCCCAAAAAATCAATCCTATCTGCAGATGCCATCAGCTTTTCAAAATATTTTTTAAAAAAGAATTAGCATCTTTTTTAGAAGTGCCGTCTATTTTAACGTATCTGTGTAGCCAAAGCTCTCCAGTGCTTGGAACCTGCATAAGTGATATAGAGGCAAATGTGTCCTGAGTTCATTATCTTACAATGCGAATCTTACAGAGCAAAGTCTGAATGGGTGATACGGGTGCATGATACAGGTATAAAAATCTAGGCAAAATCTAACCTGTGTGTTATAAAACAATATGATATTAAAACATATCTCCAAACCCAGAAAACACTGAGCTTTAATGCTTTTAAGTAATGTTTACAGAACTACTGAATTATTCCTCCACAGATTCAGAGGGACTCAAAAAAAGTCCTAAATCTGGCAGAAATTTACATCAGAATAGTAGATTGTTCTGTTGTGCTGCATATTGCTTAGCAAAGAAGAGAAAATTTATACTCATGTTACTGCTTTGACTTAATACAGAGGTAATTTTACAAACACTGTCCATGGAGTCTTCAATTTAGAAGTTTTACAGAATTAAAAATGTTAAAACTACCCACCAAGTGTAAAAATCCCACTTACTTCCACATCTGTGAGTTCAAATGTTTTTCTACCATGGAGTTTAGTGCGAATCGAAAATGGTCCCATCTTCTGTCAAAGACATAGTACCCTCTTCCCATTAAGCGACTGCCATATGAACAAAACTGAAAGAAAAGATATTTCAATATTGTTTATAAAAACAATATTTCTATATTACAAAATAATTATAATTTATATATCAAGAACAGCTTTGCAATTTGTATCATGCATCTATACACCCTTAAAAAGGTGTTTTTCACTATCTTCAGCATAAATACCTTTTGCATGGTATATGTGCATAATGTTTCAGCTCAGTGTAAAGTATACTGCGTATTTTGTTAACAAATCAGTTTACTATCAGGCACCTATGTGTGGCAGGGAAAGAATATAAATGCTGAGGTACTGTTAAGGAAGCAAATCTGGCTGATAATACTCTTACTGCCTCAGAATGACAGTTACACCGTTCTGTGCGCATTAAACCTCATAATTGTGTAACAGGAATAAAAATATAACTGAAGAGGAAAAAGATGCAATGGGAGCATCTTTAGTATCTTTTTAATAAACAAAAAAACAGTGACATTTCAGTAAAAAAAATAAATTATCACCCATGGCACCTGTGCTACAACAGAACACCGCATACACTCTTCACAGTGTATGAAACTCATCTAGAGGAGTAGTAAATATTTTGAGAATTCTTCACAGCTCAGGAGCATTTGCACCACCTCCTCTGGAGAACTTCCTGCAAAGTTCTACTACACCGAAATGGTGCGATCAGGAATCTACCCTTTCTTCAGTTCAGTCTTACTGACCTCACATTATGTAGAGAACTGCTGTAACACCTATTTGTGGGAGAGAAACCCATTATAAATCATCCTCAGAAAACAAGACAACTCTCCATCATGCAGGGACCAAGTCACGCAAATTCTGGCTGAGAGCAGAAGCTTGCTGATGCAGTAGAAAAGCATCTGTTTTAAAGTACTTTTCAGCTTAATGGACAGTGAGTGGTGACTGTAACTGTTTATCTTAAGGCTGTTTCACGACAAGGTTAAACAAACAGGTTAATTAAAACCACTGCCTAAGTTGATAAACTAGCTTCACTCCCAGTGATACATATCAGTTACCATTAAGAGGTAGTTTAAGAAGCTACTGCCGTGTTCCCGTCAGTTACTAGCTCCAGCTGGGAGAGGGACTCTGTAAGGAAACCAGTCAGGAACTGCTTCAGTTGAGAGATGCTAAGGTTCCAAAGAACAGATGAGTTGGTGGGATTTGCTTTGAAACAGAACTGGGATCCTAAACCAAAATGGCTATTGACAGCCATGTCTCCCTGATGGTGCCTGCATAAGAACTGTCTGCCCTTAGATTATATTTTAAATTGTGTGGACACGCATGCTGTGAGCTTTTGGTTTTTAATTCATAAAGAAGCAGCCAGCAAAAATCATAGACTCATAGAATGGTTTGGGTTGGAAGGGACCTTTAAAGGTCATCTAGTCCAACCCTCCTGCAATGAGCAGGGATATCTTCAAAAATGAAATAGAATACAAGAGTACTGAGGAAGCAGGATGTTACTGCATATGATAGTATTATACAGACTATAACAATTCTTATTTTCTGTCTAAGAACCAAATACAGAATTTCATCTGGCTGTCATTTTATATTCAGCTCATACTTTTTCCTGGTGTCTGACAGTAACAAGTTCTCCTTTGCTCTAGGGAATATAGACAATGCTACAGTTATCCCAGTGTTCGTTTTATTCTGCATATCATATGGAAAACATACAAGTGAAGTCTTCATTAATTTTATTCCTTGGCTCAGTTTTGATGAGAACCAACTCATCATTAGAAGTTCAAGAGTTCTCCCATAGCTTCTTGGTTTGTACAGTGTAAACAAATTCACACTGCAGCGGTAAAGCCACAAGGCAGGTCTTACTACTTACAATGATATTTCTCACTAATGCGGGAGAAAGACAAAAACAGCTGCCACAGAAGCCCAGACTTAAGCCACTGCCAGAGCAGATGGGCTATGCCGTGCTCTAGACTTTCCATTTTTAGAGGAATGAAGCAATAGCTTCTAAGTCCATATACATTCACATAAATGATATTTAATTACTGCTTCAAACCAGACTACAAAAATTAAAAAAGCACTGTAACAGCCCTTTGCTGCCATCTGATTTTCAGAACTATAATAATTGCAAGGTACAGTTTCATAAGAACTATGACAACAAAACACATGATCTGTTCATATCCCATTTAAAACAATGCAACTTTTCTCAGTTCAGCGGAATTACACCCGAGTTGCAGTCCACTGAGAAGAGAACCTAAAACTAGAACTTCGGATTTTCTGCCGCTCATCCAGTCCTGCAGCCTAGCAATGTTTGTCGCATGCACTGACCAGTCTTCTCCTCCTACCTTATCCCATCCATACCATTTTCTGTCAAACGTATTCTCTTTTGCATACAGTTTTCAGAACGTAAGATCCTCATTCCTTATATTTTTACGAAATTAATTCTTTTTTCTCCTCTCTCTAATTACGTAAGAATAACGGCAAGGCATGCCAGAGACAGACACATACCCCAAGAGGTCTGGGATGGTGTCCAGAAAAATGACAGTCTAATTTCTCAGATTCTTCAGCTCCATCCGCTTCTCCTTCATCACTGGACAATCTGCTTGTTAAATCTCCTCCCATGGAAGGCAGTGGCAGTTCTGGTACGTACCCACTGTGGTTTGAAGAACTGTTGCTGTTTATGCTATTTGCAGATGATGGTCTAGGAGGAGAATATACGTTTAAATCATCAGTGTTCAAAAGCTCTGCAAACCTACCTGCTGGAGTCAAGCGTCACAGTAAATTATACCAGAAACGATCCTATAAAGAAGGACAGTAAGATACAGAATAGCTGACATTTGGTCTTGTCAGAAATATATCAAGGGTTACCATCAAGTTAATGTTAGCAGAAGCACCGTTGTATTGCCCGAGATTTTAAATTTGCCATGAGGTTGAGTTTAAGATCTTAAGAGAGGCAAAGTATATAAAAAAAGCAAACAAAAATCAGACCGGGTATGATCTTCCTACATAGCACCATTACTCTGCTACTTGATTTATCCCAAGGGTCCAGTTAGGAAATTTTATTTCATACCAAAATACTACTGAAATTAGCGTACTAAATATAGTAAGTGTGTTTAGCTGACACCCTCTACAGCTAGCTTAGTAAGTGAAGTAACTGGGAGGACCTTGCACAGCATGTAGGTTTTCTTTACCTTTGTCTAAAATCCAGTAAAACAAAGTGGGGATGCCTTTGCACCACAGGGCACAACGGTGCCTCACCTTTCAAAAGTAGCTTGGAAACAAATGGGATTAGAAGCAGGGGTGAAAAGGATTCTCAGTTGCAGCCCTGTACAACCAAGTACGTATGTGGACCTCTGAGGTTGGAGTTGTCCGCATTGAGCAAAATCTGAAGAAGATCTTCCATTTCCTGAATTTATGCTATCAGGCCAGAGCAGTCACTACGACTGCAGACAGGTGCCCTCTTCTGAACTGAGCAGGGATTGCTCACCAATGTCCATCAGCTAGAAACAACTGCTGCAGTTGCTATTGCAAGGGATAGATTATACGAGCGCTCCTCAGCCTTCAGGAAAAGCCGTCCAGGTCAAGCCAAGTCACCTTCAAGCGAAACCAGCAAGCTTTGCCTCAGCACAGCAGGGAGCACTCACATAACCTCTTCCAGCAGCAGAGCTGCAGGCTTGCTGGCTCCCAGCAGAGAGGTAGCAAGGCTTTCCTCTGGCACGGCCGCTTGCAAAAACAGAGAGGACGACAGAACAGAGGCACTGCAGCAGAAACAGAAGTGCAGATTGTACAAACACAGCGTATGACTGCTAAAATCCTCCTCCTCCTCACATACCACTACCGTTGCAACTTCTTCAGCTGACTCTCACTGAATCGCGTTCCAGTTTGGTTTCTTTGACTGTAGCACCTACTAAAAACAATGTCTGCCTGTTCGTCTGCCTCTGTGCTCCTTACTATGTAAGGACTGTGTAAGGCCACTCCTTTTACAAGAATTATGCAGATTTCTCACCAATTTATCTACGGGTATTCTTTCATTGTCCTTCCACTCAAACCCTGTAAGACCCACCTGTACCACTCTATGAATAAAATTTCATTATGGCTTGATGAACACACAGAAAACATTGTAAATGGCTGTCTCTGTAAAACTTGAGATAGCAAAACCAACAAATATTTCTTTGAAATAGGGACTATCTTAGTACAAAAGCCCCCAAAAGGACACGCAATCCTGACCAAGGCTTCTGCAAAGAAAAGAAATATGAAACAAAATAAATATGAACAAAACCAACTAGCTTAGCTCTATCTACTCCAGACAAAACTAGTACCAAAAAACTCCCCAAACAAACAAACAAAACATATGGGAAGTTTACCAGAGCATAATCGGAATTCAGTAGATCCAATACCTCATACTAGTTTTTCTCAAGGGATGTCTTTAGAAGTTTGCATTGTCTTTCTGAAGTCCTTTCTAAGAAAAACCTTCCAAATGAGTCAAGACATGGACAGTTTCAGATCAATAGCTTTAAGAACTATCTGGTTACATTGCTGTTTACACTAAATTACACCTTTTTTTGACAAGACATTCCACTGATGTAATTGGTGAAGTATTTGCAGAGAAAAATTCTACATAAATGCGCAGACTTCCACTACTGATACCTAACCTGATTCATGTAAACAGACTTTTATCCCTAAATGTGCCACGACCTGAATGTACATTTTCCCAATTATTACTAAACATTTTAGCCAAAAAATGCAGTTAGTCTGATATTCTGAGCTGAGGGTGGACACCACTCCTTACCTCCTTCCCAGTCAGACCACAGGCTACCATGGACAGATTGAGGTTAATGTAAGCACAGTCTATCTTCTACTGCTAGCAGAACTCTTATATTAATGTGTTTTATCATTCAATAGCCTAAAGAAATACCAAATGCTTATCAAATAAGCTGTGTGAAAGACTATGAATGACATTTCTCACAGCACCTTCAGAATGCAGCATTCCACTCTGGAGAACTGCTTACCTTGGAAGTACAGAATTTGGTGGTCTAGATTTTGCAGGAGATGTTACTTTAGATTCTTGCCCAGAGTTCACTGAAGTTCCTGACAGAGAGTCCTGTGCTGGTGTGGGCTGGTTCTGATAGCTCTCCCTTGCAGATGGTGGATGCTCTTTGTCTTTTGCAACTTCTTTTTCCCTGGATCGAGCTTTGTGTTCAGCTAGAAGGATGTCAAACTGTTTTTTACGGCCTGGAACTGCTCGTCGATGATTAAGTGAATGAGTCTAAAAATAGGGTGGTTAAAAAGCATTTGTGTGTGCATGACATTGTTTATGAGTCCTCTATACTTCCGATACACCACAACTCTAAAAGATAAAATCTACTTCAAACAACTTTAGCCACAGTTATGGAAATAAAGCTGTTATTCCACATTATCTTTGATAATTTATGAAGTCATTGTTAAGAAATGCCAACATCAAGGCTTAAATTACTTTCTGCAATGATTTTCATATAATAGAATCTATTGACTTACCTCTTCCAAGACAGAAAATAGAATTCCAATAATTTTAAAATATTAAGAAGTAACATCATTGTAGCTCTTAACTTACAATGAGAAATTGATTTCATTGGATTGAAAAATGTGAATACAGTTTAAAGCGAATTTAACTGATCATCTCTACTGACAGGCAGCACATATACATACAAATGTTCATTATAAATATCTCACATTGCTGCTACTTTTTGACATAAGACTTATTACTACCACAAGGGCAGCCTCCAAGTAATTTATTATACAAAAATCATGTTAATTTTTTACTAAAAATTGACTATACTTCAGTGAACCAAAAAAGGAGCATTTAAAATAACACTTGTGCTTCTGCATGAAACCTTAAAGCTTTTTGCATAACAAAATGACAAGAAAAAAATAAGATCTTTTTAGAAATATCAGTGGAATAATGCAGATGCTCTGATTCAAAGAAACAGAATTACTCAAAAGAATTACCTGAAGACAGCGTCTGAATACCATACCCATTGTCTGTAAGACAGGAGCAGGTATGACCTCTCAAACTACTGTGGTAGGATTTAAACTACAACAAAGCATCTGATATTTTATCTTCTAAGAAAAATACCTTGCAGGTGAGCGATCTTGTGCAAGGTTTCTTTGTTTCAGGATCCAGTACTCCACAGTGTTTATTTGGGTCAAATTCTCTTTCTGGTTGATGGGGGAATGGGTAGAAAAAGGAGAAAAAATAGATTATTATAGAAACTTTAACCAGATTAGCTATAATTTCTGCCTGATAGAACTTAATTCAACCAGGCTCAGCCTGAACTACTGATTCCAACCAGCATCCCACAGTAGTGCCACGTGCACCTCTCATGCAGTTGTGCATTGTTTTTGTCCTTACACATTTCAAACTATACAGAGCAGGATTTCAGTCACAGACTTCATAGAAATAAGTCTTGCTTCCAGAGCTGTGCTCAACAGAGTGGCCCAAACACAGGACCAAGCCAAACACCCGCAAGTTCAACCCCCTCTCTAACGCTGACTGCCTCTGAGGCCGTGAAATACAGCATTTGCAAACCTAGCCTCTGAGTTCGGCTCAGACACATACAGACTAAATATCACAAGTGCTTTGAACAACATTTCTTTGACATACTCAGAAGCTCTGAAAAACAACCAGTGGTGTCTCAAAAGTTAATGCAAGATTACTTGTGGCATCTTAAAAATGAAGTTTATCTAAATCTGTCCCCGAAATCTGTTGTAGAAATAACATGTATATTAGTTCTTATTTCCCTAAATGAAGGGAGGCATGGAATTTAAAGTTTGCAGAGATTATGGGGAAAAAAAAGGCATTTACATGAGTTCTACTCATGATTAACATTAAAAGCGCATTAATATTTACTATGCTGTATTTGCATATTTCATTTTCATTAATATTTTAGTATTTATATACCACAGATAGCATCACCTCCTTTAGGTTACGTTAATATAATTTTAGGGTTTGCACTACAGAGCTGTAACAAAACTATGGACATACACTTTTTAGTTTATGCTAGCAAAAAAATCTACCATTATCTTTGGACACCTTGACATTGTTTTAATGTTTTAATTGGCAGACTGGTTTGCTTGTGTTTGATAGTGGAATATAAACTATTTACCAAAGCCTATTATAACTATACAGTGGTGTTACATTCAGATATAATAAGCATCCTGTACTCAAATACAGCTGAGTATCTAAATATTCTGAGGATCTAAATATTCTTTATAAACAAAGAAATCAGAGCTAAGATGAAGACAGCAATTCACAGCCATGTTACAACGTAATGACAGCATCACAGCAAGTAGAACAGCTGGGAAAAGAAACCTGAGGCCAAGTGGCCTACGTCAGACGACAACTGTCATCCAGATATCACAATTACTAGCAGTTTTACATATTCTGCTATATGGACTTAAAAATGATAAAGCAAACATTCAATTGTTTCTGTTATCAACCTATTAGCAGAGACATACCAAAAAGTGAGCTTGGAGAAACCAGCTGTTTTTTCGGTGAAATCTACAAAGGGTCTGAAATCTCTCACAAGTAGTTGTAGTTTCTGTGTTTACAGCACAACAGAAGCAGAAAAGTAGCTGTGTATGACTAAATGTAATGAAAATTTTCTTCTACTTAATGGATGAAAACTCATGCTCATGAACTAAAGGAGTTAATTACTCCTGGTTTTTGAGTGTGTGATGTTCCCATCACAGGTTCCTGAATCCCGTGCCTAAAAACCTTCAATGCAAATTTAGGAACAAACTAAATAGACTACACGGACTTATAAATATGCCTTCAAATGAAAAATCCTGAGGGTAATCATAAGGCTGTGGAATGTGTTCTGGAAGTCACCAAGCGAAGACTGTTTTGGACCAACAATGAAACATCCTTCAAAAATCGAAAGTGCTGCCTTTGGGAGCATCCAGGTTGCTACTTGTCAGTAAGAATTCCCAACCAAGCAAGACTTGCAGCACTGATTATAGCAAAGCCAGGTTTTAGGAAACCATATAGAGATAAAATCAACATAATGAATTATTGTCAGAAAAAACAGAAGCCTCCGCCATCTACCAAACAACAAAATAACATGCTTTCCCTGAGATAACCAAACAGGGAACCACTTGTCTTGGCTGAAGTGTGCGTGGCTGTTCAAGAGAAGTCATGAATGTCTAATTGCAGGCTACAGACATGCCTGGTTTGGGCACCTCATTAAATGAAGATTATCACCTTCTTATCAGTAACAAAATGCAGCTTCTGACTACCTCTGTATTCGGAAATGTGTAGCGTGAGAACCCCTAGACTCCTGGGCACAGGCACAGCTTGAAGAAGCCATTTCTCCAGAATGGATTCCACTTCTTCATGTTTGGTGGATGGAGTAAAGAGCATTCATTATAACCTCACTGAAAGAGGAGGAAGGGTCAAAACTGAACTGTCTCAGACTCCTGTTTGCAACACAACAGACATTCCTGGTGTAGACTGGGAATCTGCATTCTTCAACTTCACCCCAAAGAGAACAAGAACTAAGGAAGATTTAGGGGAAAAAAAAATTTTTTTTTTTTTTTTTCAGTTTGCTACTAGGGAACAATGATCCACTTATGCTGGGCAGCTACCGACTGTCTTTTGTGGCTCCACGAGCTGCTTCCTCTCTCACCAACGACAGTGCTTCTGAAAAGAGGGCAGGTTCATTCATCACCCAAACAACCACCAGCTCTCAGCAAAGAAAGAAAACAAACTTCAGCCACAGTCAGAGAAGTGGCATAAGAGAGAGTGAAGATTGCTAAAAAGGAAAGAAAACAGATGTAAACTGGCCAGACCTATTAAGGAGCTTCAAAAATTAACAGCTGTACAGTTCCACAGCAGCAGACTGAGGGAAACCTAAATCCCCTAGACACTGTCTCATTCTTTTAATGTGAAATGAATTAATTTTATGGGATATCTAAAATAATCATCTCATTGACCTTCCAAGATCTTTTTCTCAGCCTTTGCACAGTCCTGTATAATAATGGAGAGGAATCCATCATAGTGACACACAATCTGCAGGCAATTCATCTACAGCGCTCTCAGGACTTCTATTTGCATCACCACTAAATTGTTGCATTGCAGCATCAATACATGAGGCAGTAGAAGCAAGACCAAACAGATTCTAAACTTGATAATGACAGAGAAGCTTTAAAAAAAAAAAAAAAAAAAGTATTAAGTCCTGTGGATTTGTTAACCATATAAAAGTAAAGTAATGCCTGTTGGAGTGCTAAAACAGTCCTGTGCAGAAATTTCCACCAGTGAAACATTTCCTAGCCTAGAAGACACTGCAAGCGACAGCTTAGAGACAGAATAGCAATGGAGTCACCTCCACAGAGAAAGCAAGCAAGTTGAAGGAAGGCCCTACAGAAATGATTCTCCTTTTACGCACACATTTCAGCAAGCACTTGTACAGAAAAGACACAAGAACCACCTACAGCCCTGCAGTGGTACGTGGTGACATGAGGAGAAGAAGTATCTCAAATAGTATCAGTTTCAACTGCCCAAGTAGGAATTCAGAATTGATTAGCCAAATTAAGCATCTAAACCATTAAAGGAAATAATTTGTTAATTTTAAATTAACTGCAGAATATATACAGTTTTTATTAGACTAACAAATTGGATCTTATCAAATGAAATATAAGATTTAAAAGCCTAATCAGCTACTTTCTTGTAATATTTTTTCCCTTTGTGGAACGCTATAAATGAACAACGGTGCCACCTTTAACTAGTTAAGAAAGCAATCAGTGTACTGAATCCTTTAAGGCAATGGCGTTGTTCCATACCCCACACAGCCCTAGCAAACACCTCACACTGGTCTGGAATCCAGCCAAGGCAGCAGTACCATAGGCTAACTGCCAAATTTGAGAAAATGAGAAAAATAAACCTGATATTCAGTCAAAAAATAGAGCACGCTCATTAACTGGAAACGAAAGCATTTGTCTTGTACAACATATATTTGGTTCATAACTAGTGCACATTTAGAAATCACGTGAACTAACTTTCCGCCAAACTGACGATCTAATGCGGATCATGCTGCCATTAGCAAAATTAGCCTTTCAGTACACACAAGAAGTTCCTGCCCAAATCACAAAGCTCTGCCAGCTGATGAATAGACCCTGCACAGCTTCTGAAGCCGTAAACTTGAGTCAGTTACTTTTGCTTTAAAGAAAAAATTAAAATCCCTCAAAACGCTTTGTTTCCTTTCATTCAGAACAAAAATATGTTTTCAGCTTTAGGGGGCAAATTCTCTACTCGCTGCCCAACACGTGTCATGGGTCACCTTCGGGGAACTCCATGGAAAATAATTCTTCCTCCCAATGGTTGGCAGCCTTCCTAACAGAGCCCCTGACCTCCCATGATGGGGTGTTCTGTGCTTCGGTGGCAGATTTGAACAGGGACCCACATCCTCAGTACTGCCCTGCCCAAGGCCACCCAGGGCATTTCCACATTTAATGCTGCGCCCTCAACCCCACTATCCTGTCTTCCTGAGACAGAGCGAGATCCCCACGCTGCAAATGCCTTCACTCGTGTGATTTGCAGGGGGAGAGGGGTAGGGGGGAATTACTACTTTTAAGACTTCCCCAGCATTTCCCATATCTTTTCAGAATTTTCTAGTATTTAAAACCAAGAAAGAAGATTCTTTAAAAAATCATGACTTGGTGGATAATCCAATGTCTTAAACCTCAACTGTTGAACTTGATCATGACTATACTAAAGTCACCCAACCAAGGCACATTTTCGTTTGTGGTTAACAGACTCAAATTACATAATGGCTTGAAGAAGCCTTCTGCTTTTCTGTTTTAATGGATTTACTACCTTAAAAATTTATATTTGGCCTGTTGACCAGTTGAGAAATGCACTAAACACTCTAATTTCAAGCTAAACAGAATGTGTACTTTGAAAATATTTTACGCATGCTAAGAGTGTGAAAACTTTCTTTTTAGTATGTGCAAACTGGCATCTTACAGCAAAAAAATCAAACCAAAACCACGCAACAGCATTTTATTAGTACATTATTTCTCAGCTATAGAAATATTAGTGAAGAAAGAGGAACTACCTCAAAAGAAAAACTACGACATCACTCACCTGAAAGTCTTTTGTAAGGCTTGTTACTGCTTTTAGTGCCATTTTGGTGTTTCTTGTCTATTGATGGAGCTACGATTCCTTTGCCATTCAGAATCTTTTCTGGTGACGGTGGCACTGACTTGGATGTCAAACCAGATTTAACCAAAGTTGGAGCAGGTATGGTGGATGAAGAGGCTGAGGAGGAGGTGATGGTGGTAGTGGTTGCAGAATTCATTTTAACATTGGCACCATCTGCCTTCACTAGGTTAGGAATTTTCTCTAGACTGACTACTGGAACAGGAACACTGCAAAACCAAAGAAAAATCTTCAAGTTGTATTTTCTGTACCAAAGAATTACAGTTACTTAAACCCCTTCCACAAACATAAAAATGATGCAAGTGACACAGTATCTTCAGAGCAGACTAAAATGAAATACTGCGTACCATTATTGGCTATCAATCAAATGTTTCGAAAACTAGGCATTGCTAAGGCCTGGCAGAGTAGAGAATTATGAAAATGAACCTTTGTATTTTTTTTTTTTAAGATCCAATCCAATCCTATCCATAAACAAAATAAGTCTTTGGTGGTAAGCAAAACATAGCCCCTTACATATATGGTCTCATGCCTTTAAGATAAGCACGTATCAGATATGTCTATGCTGTACTAAACTCACCATGACAATTAAGGATTTTGCTAACAATATTAGTATTTTTAAACTAACACAAAAATAATTAATTTGCTCAGCTGTGTCTGAATGACGTACAAGTTCCGGAAACAAGGAGAAAAGAGGTTTTAAGCATAGAAATCTTAACAGCTCCCTTTAAAAGTATTACAATCCTTGATAAATTAAACATTACTAAAATGTATTTTTAATAAAATCTTGTGAACTTAAAACCAAAAATTCCCAATATAATTATTAGCTTAGTTGGCCCTTTTCAGAATAAAGTCTGCAATAACTTACTTCTCCTGACTTAACTACCTTCACAGCGTATTTGTGACACTAACAAATGTTACCTTCTCAATTTGGCAGCAAAAAAGATTAAGACAAGTAATTTTCAATTCCAACATTATTTTAACATTTCTGGCTCCTATCTGCTTGAGAAAATATCCAGCAATGGTAGCTGCTTTTTACCTACCCATCAACTCCAAAATTGGATGTCTTCTGACTATCAATTAATATATAATATATAAATTATATACCTTTCCTTACTGTAACAAACCCAGACAGAAAATATTAATTAAAACCCCTAAATACTCAGAGCTTTAAGCCCAGGTTTCACTGGAGGCCGCAAATGAAAACATCTCACTTATTCAGTTCTCCCTGTACACTGCCTGAAGAGTTGCTTTTGCCAAATAGTTGACTATCTGCCTTGTAAGCAAATTCACACACGGATCATGCAAAAATGACAATTTTCAGACTATCACTCCACACTGAGCAAACAAAAGAAAGACAAGTTTCCTTAAATGCAAATGCAATGGTGATGTTTAAAAGGTAAAACAAATTCCTCATTTAGAAGCTTGAGAGTCTCCCTAACAGTATTCCCATCTTTTCTTCTTGGAATCGCACAGAACTAACCTAATCTCTGTAATTTTAACCCCCAGCATAAAGGAGACAGCTGAGAAGGCTGTCCCACACCGAAAAATTTCTTAAAACTCAGGGATTCTTTAATCTATTATTATCTTAAAGTTTTAACTTGATTTACACGCTAAAGGTAAAATGAAATGTATTTATAAATAGTGTGAATTACTCCTTAACAAACTGTACTCAAAGAACAATCTGCTTCTTGCACGTTTAAATTAATTACTGCAGTAATTTTGCACGGCAGTGCAGAGCTACTACAAGTGCATTACTCCCGTGACGTGTGTTACACATGCAACAGCTGTTAAATCAGTATATACTCTGAAGTACCCCGGCACATTGCAGTTCAGGTAAGCAGAGCTTCTTGCCAGAGACCACACCGTGGTCAGAGCGCCCCAAGACAGGCAACATCTGCCTCTCTGCACATCACTGTATGGTTTGGGGCTTCCACCCATTCACAAGTCTCACATAATTTCAGCCTTTTCTGTCTGAAAAAATAGCACCTTCACTGCATTCCTCCTACAGAAGGAACGGTTAATGGCTGTGGAGTTTCTACAATCAGACAAAGATGACTCTGAGATGGTGTTCTCCATGGGACGCCCTCGGAAACATCGGAAGCAGGGTCCAAAATAACTCAGTCTTGACCTGCCTGGGCTACTACAAAACCTCCATTTCTCCAAAGCTGCTGGAGATAAGCAAAAAGTGTGACATGCGTGGCTGGAGCAAACTCTCCCATACAGGAAAGTTGTTAATCTTTGTTCTAAGGGTATTTTAAGATAGAAAAATGTACAAACCTTGATATAAACAACATGTATGTAAAACTAAAAAGAAGATTTAGACACCAAGACATGTTCTGGAGCTGGAATTAAATTTAATGAAACATCCATATTCTGTGCTACCATAAATACAGCAGTCAGAATACAGATCCAACTGCAGTACAATGTAGAGTGCTGGCCAGTAACTAAGCAAAAGTAATGTAACTCACAAAAGTAGAATTTCATTAAATATTTCAATAAATGCAAACATGAAGCTATGAAAGAGAGGATTTGATCCTCTACTTTTTTAAACTGCTCTGGATTTATTAAGTTAAATGACTGACAAAAATTATACACCTCAGGGTAGGTATTAATTTTTTTTGCTTTTAAACAGATGGCTATTACATTTTCTGAAAATAGAATTTTTTTACTGTAAAATAGTGTTTCTATATAAAACCTATGTAAAAAAAACATATGAACAAATCTTCAGGCCCAGTTTCCAAGATCTACCTTAAGTGAAAGTACTGATACACAGTGAAAGGGTCAAATGTATTATCTGGTCTAGTAGCAAAATATGCTTAATAAATATGAAAAAAGTTTTTCTGTTTTGCAGTGCTCAGAACCTCAAATCCTAGGGCACATATGGATGGGTCATAATGAAAAAAGCCCAAGGGAGGGAACATTTTTGCTTAGATTTGTTACAGATCAAGTCAACCTTCATTATGCATTTCAGCACAATGTAGGGAAAAAAAGAAAAATAGTCCAGTATTTGAAGACACACCTTCTATAGGACTCCTGGCAGTCTACAGTAAATTGTTTGAGATTTTAGAAGCTACAAATTATAATTTCTCTCTCTCTCCTTTTTTTTTTTTTTTAAATATAAGTGGGTACTGCATTCAACATTAAAGAACTTTAGTTTCATCTTAGCATAACACATAGATTAACTGGTAACCAAACAGCAAATGGGAAGCTGTGCAGGACCAGTGACCACGGTCAACTACTAAGGACTAAAAAAGTAAATAAATCACACATGCTTATATTTATATTTGATGGCTAAAGAGAGTTCTTTTCCCAAACTGAGTTTTCTGAAAATTGAAGATTTCTTTAAAAAGTTTGTTAGAAAAATAAAAAAAAAATCAGCTTTTTAATCTTACTTACTGTATTTTAAAAAGAATTTTTCAATGAAGACCCTGTTTAGATTTATTAAAGACAACTGCTGAAAAGGAAAATGAGAAAAACAACATGCAACAAACATAAAAACTGAGGAAGGGCACAAGACAATCAGTAAAAATGAGAAATATGGGAGTACAAACGATTGCCAACAATAGGTGAGAAAAATCTGGATTCAGCAAAGACAAGTTTACTTTTTTTAACAAAAGAAATTCTAATAATAATAGCAGCATCTACCTAAAGGGCAGTAAAGTAGCAATTAGCAATGCAAAAATGACAGAAACATTCAGTACTTCTATATTAAGAAGGAAGCATGTTAATGCTCTCCAATCAGATAAAAATGTTTTTTGATTCCCTCAGTCAGTGTGAAGTGCCAGCTGAAAAATAATGAATTTTTTTTTTTTTTTATTTTTTTTTTTTGGTTAACTTGAGCAAATCTGGATAATGTGGCCATGAGTTCCAAATGAGTTGGAGTGATATTGGGTCTCTCTCTAATGGAATCTTGGAACATTTTGCCACTTAGAGAAGCTAACTGAGTGCTGCTATTACATCCACACTGAAAACCCAAGCCAGAGTGTCTTGGAAGAAATAATGGAAAAGCTAATAAAAATAAACTGATAAACAATTAGTTCACATGGTTTTGCTGAAAATCAGATGTCAGCAACGAAGTCTGGTATCACTTTTTGATGAGATTACCAGTTAAGCTGACAAAGATAACCGAAAATGTTCCAACTTTTGAAAGGCATTATAAAACACAAATAAGAACAATTTAAAAGCAAATGTTAACATAAAATTAAAAATTAGTTTTTCAGAGAGTTATGATTCAAAAAGGATGCTTGCTAGGGGGACTTTTCAGCCATCATTACCAAGTCTGACATGACTGAAAACTTCACTGGTCTTTACAAATGAATGTAAGATTACTGGTGATAACATTTGCTAATGGAATCAGGATCGATGGAACTAAATAATGAAGAGACAAAGGCAGCTATAAAAAGCAGCATGGACTGTTGGGTAATGTTCATTAAATAAAAAAAAAAATTTTAATCACAGAATCACTAAGGTTGGAAAG